CTACCGCTTGAGCCACATCCCCAGCCCCTAAAATAACATTTGTAAACAATTCATAAATATACCACTTTGATGCTCCTCATACATTAGAGAATTCTATTATTCATTAAATCATTTTATTTTCCCTAACAGAGATACATATTAAGAACAGCTGTCCATAAACTGGTACATTGATCCTAGCCCTCCTAGAGTATTCTCTCAGGAAAATTCAGCAGCAGCTGCATGATAGAGACATACTGAGACAAAGATATTTATATAGACTTTGGTACGACTGTGACCTTTTCAACTACAATCAACCATGCCAGTCTTCATTAGAGTTGAGATCCAACCAAGACAAAGCTCAGGTAACAGAAGAAATACATCAACTTGACAAGATTGCCTTCTGTTTATTTATAGTCATAATTTTCAAAATGATACAGTACAATTTCCTGAACCAAATAATCATAGGACTACTGAGTGCCTATAGTGCTAGTAAATTATTAGAAATTATTTGAGAAATTGGAGGCTTTCTTGAACATTGTATGTATGCCTGAAGTCATAAAGTGTCACTACTTTATAATAGTTTAGTTAGGGTGCAGGAGATTGATCTGAACAACACTATGTGAAATGGAGCACGCACAAATTCTTTTTTATTTCTTGGAATTGATGAGAGAAATGATGCCTGATAATCCACAAATACTGATTCACATGCAGGTAGTCAGATCTAGAACTCAGGGGAAAACAGATGCCCAACCTGAGGGGGTCAATGTTGGAAACTGCCTTTTGCTGGAATTAATACTCATCTTGGAATAGATTAATGATCTTGATATTTTTTTCTGTTTGGCAGCTGTTATCAATTGTCCTGCAAACCACTGTCATTATTGTCAGAGCCTCTCCCCTTCCTTTTTATGAGAAATGTCTGACAGAAGACAAAAAGATAGTCATCTAATTATAATGGGCATCAGAGTCATAATAAAGTTGGATTCTGAATCATCCCTTTGCTATATCCTAAAGCTTCTTGGCAGAGAGAGAAAGATGTTTCATCTCATTTCTTTTTGTTTCTTTGCAGCACTCTCAGAAATTCCCACAAGAAATGAAAATGAGTCAACAGCAGCATCTCATGGTCAACAGTGTCTCACTGAAGAGGAAAGTTAATCTTTATAGAAGACATTAGCAGCAGCTGGGTATCTATCCTCACTTTGTCTGCTTCTGACAGCTGGTGTCATAGGAACTTTCAATCTCTGCCTAGGCCCTTCTTTTATGGAGCTAAAAACCTAAAGGCTCATGAACATCAAAGAAATTGAAGCCAAAACTTAGTCTCTTGTATTTATGGTATTATATGCTCTGTCTTCTTAAAGAGAAAATGCACCTGCAAGACTTCATAAGTTATTTTAGAAGAGATGCAGATGTATTGCTTAAAGAATAGCCATTTGGAACACATCTGGACTTGATTTTACACATATGTAATACAAGTATATTTTACACACACACACACACACAGACACACACAACTATAAAATATCTCAGTGTAGCTAACCCTCTGTCGTTGACTTTATTTGTTCACTTCAGATTTAGTAACTAAGAACTGGTTGGTACTCCTATGCAATATTTCTTTATTCTATAGTGCTCTAGGGAGTGAGTTTATAAAGTTGCCTTTAAATTATGTTCATTCTTGCTAGTATGTTGAAAAAGATAAAGGAGAGAAAAACCACACTGGGCTACATACACTTCTACTTTCTGGTCCAAATACCTGGTTGCAAGGAGGCTCTAAGAAAACCTTGGGCTATTTTTAATTTCTTTTATTTGTAGCTATGTTTTTGGCCTTCACCTGTTTTTATTAAGTGCAATATCTGCTTTGCCTAGATCCTCAATGCAGAAGCCAGACCATAACAGAGTGTTGAGAAATACTGCTAACAAGATAAGTACATGCTGCCATCAGCCTTTCTTCACCACACAAAATCATTTAGAAAAAAAGAAGCAGAGTGGCATGCTGAAAACAACTGCAAATCTATAGCCACAGGTGCCATCATTATTGTTCCTTTTAGTTTTGTCTTCTCTGCTTTGCTTTTACCATCTTGCCCTTCTTGTATAATGCTGCTTATTCTTGTAACTCTCTCCAAACTCTCTTCCCTCTTATGGTTGCTTGCTTTTGGTTTTTTGTTTGTTTTACCCATAAGTTCTCAATCACATCCTTCCTCATTTTCTTTAGGCATACTGTTTTATCTTTTATTATACTATTCTTTCTTCCTTTCTTCTTATTCTGCCCTTCCAGCCTAAGAAAGTATTTCTATATTTGTTGTCATCATTGTTATTTTATTTTGTAGAGGAGAAAACTCATTTGTCTTCAGCTGCATAGATAGGAGAGGAAAGCAGGAGAGAGAGAGAGAGAGAGAGAGAGAGAGAGAGAAAGAGAGAAATGTATATTTCTCTTGAGGTACTGAGCTTCTAACACACATGATCTGAGCCAATTTTGTATCTTGCTTTGAAATATGCAACATGTTCATTGTAAACTTAGCCCACATGTGTTGGAAGTTCCCCGATGTCAGTTATTCTAGGTGATATTATGAAGGGATTTTGCATACCAAATTATAGTCTCAAATTAACTGACTTTAAGATAGGGAGACTATTCAATGGGTCTGAGCTAATCATATGAGACCTTAGGTCTATGTTTAGAGGTCAGAGATACAGGAAATCAGAGAATGAAAATCAGAAATGACTGCTGCTGCTGTCCAGGGAGAAAGCAATTACTAATAGGCAACTAGGGGTGGCTTGCAGGAGCCAAGAGTGATCCTTAGTGTACATTTAGTAAGAAAATGGGAACAGTCCTAAAACTACAAGGAAATGAATTCTGTCAACAACCTTAATGACCTTAGAAGGGGACACTGATTCTCAGGTCATTGTGACAATGTGACTGACCTTTGGTCACAGCTACAATTGCAGCCTTGTGAAACACGAACTGTAAACCTAGATGCACCATAATCAGACTTCTGACCTACAGACACTGTAATATGATAATTTTTCAGTGTTTAAATCCACTAATTTAATGGTACACTAATAGAAAACTAAAAAATTATTCCATTATAGCAATTCTTCCAATAAAGCATTTTATCACATAGATCTGTTCTGTCTTGGTCAGAAAATTGCTTTTAACAAGGAAAAAATGTATTATTCCAGAAAGAAAAGGAAAATGCTCAGAGACTTATCCAATAGCTTCATAATATTTATATTTATAGATATGCTTAATGTAGATGCTGGAAATAATTTATAAGTCTCTTAAATATAGAATTTAGGATTAAAAAAACTGTAATCGGCAAACTATTGTTATATAACAAAACAAGTATCCATTGACTTTTAACTCCTGGATGCTCAATGATAGCCTTGGAATCATTTACGTTTTAAAATTATTATTTCAAAGTGCTTTGACGGGAAGCTTCAAAATAATTTGAAAAGAACAAAAATTGGATTCACCAGAACTGCTGCTTCTCCTTCTTCCCTACTTTATTTCTTACTGAAGGATATACATGTCCCATATTTGATGACAAGAAGCAGAATAATGAAACTTGATGATGTTTCTATTTTTCCAGTGCAGAGTCCGCTGTTAATGATTGCCTTTTCCTTGAGTGATATAGATGACACCTAATACCCACTTCTCCCTTTCTTCTTCCTGATAGAAGCTCCTTTAGTCTAGAGATTCACATTCACAACACATCAGTCCTCAAGAGAGATTTTGATTAGTTTAAGTCACTTAGCTGCTGGCATTCCCTAGTCTGGAGGTGGAAAAATATGAATTAAGTTTTTCTCAATCAGATTAAAAAGAAGGAATATTTTCTGTGCTAAGGGGAAAATGATCCTTTTTCCTTTCCTGCTAGAAGTAGATGAGAATTAATGTTCCTCTGATGGCCACCAACAGCCTTCCTGAAACCAGAATAACCAGCCTTAGGAGTAGCTGATCCTGAAGACAGCAGATGAGAAAAGACCTGGATCCCTGATTACATTGTGTCTCTCATTACTACACACCAGGGGTCCACCTTCTGGTCTTCCAGTTATATTGGATGATGCATTTCTTTATTGTTTAAGCCACTCTGGGTTGGGAATTTTCTGTTATCTGAAGCTCAAATACCATAACAGATAACATGTGGGATCAATACTCACGGTCACTATGCTGCTTAAACTTCAACTGAGCTTTATTCTCAAATGTAAAGCATTTCGAAGACCTGTAGAATTTCATCTCTAGTTTCCCAGGCAACTATCACATGTCACTCATAGATGTTCTGAGGCACACAGGTAATATTCCTTCTCATCACCTCAATTTTAAACCCAGAGAAAGACAAATGAAATGGGTGCCAATAAATCCTCAAGGCTGCAGAGATAAAAGAAAAGAATGAAAATCCAAGAGGCAAAGGAAAGTAAACAACCTGCTCTGCTATCTAATCTTCCCTTTTCCACCCTTTGTTTTCATTTCTCTTTTTTAATGCTGCTGTGAGAGACTCAAAATTAAATATAAATTTTTTGGAGGTTAAGGCCTTCTTTCTGCATTGGTTTCCTGGATACACTTGACCCTGTCATACAGGAAACTCTGCCCCTGCAGAGAAAAGATTCAACAATTCCGTGTGCCTCATCTAAGATCCTTTGTTCTATTTTTCCCTACATCATAAGAATAAAATTCAATCTTGATACTAAATAGATATAATAGAGTCTAATATAAATCATTTAAATGCTAATACTTTTACTCCCCAAACATTTCTTCAATAGAACAAAATTATACACTAAATGATGGAAATAAAATCGAAAGATTAATTTTTGTCATTATAGTAATGCTTTTTTTCATCACAGACAATAAGACGGAAATAATTTCGAGTCAGAGCTGGTATCTTTGTTCATAGTTGCTTTGGGTATTATCAAATGAGACTCTCATGTATGTCACAGAAAAAATCTCCTAAGGAGAGCTGAAGAGTTCTACATACCCAAGAAGTACTCAGCCATAAACCCAGAAAGTAAGAGTCTTTATCCTTTCCCTCTCCTGTTCACTAGCTCCATACTGGCTTCCTGGCTTCCACTCTGGGCCTGCTAGTGTTTACTGTCCACACAGTGGCTAGCACAATCTAATTAAAAGAGAATGGAACATATCATTTCTGTCAAAAATCTTCAACAACTTTTCTTCTCATTCACAGCATGATGGTTATGAAGCCTCCACACACTATGGCCTCTTGATAACCTGTCTGACTTTTTCCTGTACTTCCTTCTTAAAGTCCATACTATCTACTGTGGTCTCCTGGATATTGAAAAGGCCAAGCATGGTACCAGTTAAGGCTTCCACTTGCCCTTCTCTTGCTTGTGAAGTTCTTTTGGGAGATTTTTAGGCTCAACCATTTCAGTCATTGCTGCTAAAATGTCCCTTATCTGAGTGCTGCTCCCTGTCCAGTTTATATAAGACAGCACCATTTTTCTCACTCTTCATCCCCATATGATGTTTTCTTAGTTATTTTTTTTTTACAATAGTTGTCATTACTTGATGTTACATGGTTGTGTTTTGTCTATTATCTCTAACTAGAATGTGAGTTCCATGAGATCAGTGCCTGACACTTGGTAGTAATGAAGTAACTGCTTCTTAACATCAATGAACTTCTGTTTCAGTAAACATTGACAAGACTATGCACAACACATCACAATAGCACTCATTCATAAAAGCCTTTTTATCAATTAATTTTGTATAATGAGATAATTCCTCATTAATTTTTTAAAGAGAGTTACCATTTCTTTTCACAAGGGAGGTATATATTCATTATTATAGAGAAATGTGTGTGTTCACTCAAGTGGCTATGAAAAAGAAGAACAAAATGAAGCTTCAATCCCAAATTCCATCCATCCAGAAACAACTCTTGTTACAAATTATATCAAAAGAATCTATTTTCATTATCTGGAAAATAGTTCAAGTTAATATTTTACTCTATATACTGAGACAACTTCATCTTTTTCTGAGAAATAGACTTGAGAAAAACCCCTGAGGAATGACTGATTCCTGTGAACACAAATTTAGCCTCAATCACTAGCAAGGAAGCACATTAATTCAGGTTGTCTCAACTGAGAGCAGACTGAAGCTTCCTCATATTAGAATCATTATCACCTTTTACTGAATGAGTCTTCAGTAAAACAAGGAAGAGATAGAAAATCAAAACCAAAACTAATGAAAAAAATTGTCAGTGAACTTTCTTTAGCATTTCACTAAGATATACCTGGGCAAAACAAGTATTTATCCTCCCTGATGCCTCCATATTTTCCCTTTTGTAGAAAACTGAAGACCCTACTTTCTTC